ATCATTTCAAGAAATTACCCACTGGGTTACTATCTCATCTGTTATTTAATGGGTAATATTAGCTAGTCACCGAAATCATTTTGAACTTTCCGCATTCTCGGAAAGTTCATACTGGAAACTAACAAGTCAACAGACACCAATCATATCAGTGAGAGCTAGTGTAAAACACTTAGGCGTTTGAAACGATGGTGCTGGTTTAAAATCTAAGTGGGAACATATCAATCAATCGGGATGCAGCTACATCAAGCTGACGAGTGCCGAACGCGTGTCCTGGATTGCACTGGTAACCACCACCAACTAAGCGATACCATGTTTGTCTTAGGACATTATTAAAGCCAACTTTTCAGCAGAGATCGATACTTCAGTTCAGTAAAACCAGTCGATAGGAGGTTCAAAATAACTTCAACAAACAAAGTGGTGATGATGAAAGAGATTTGTCTCTCTTTATTTATACTACAGCTGGATGGAGATCACAGGGACATAAATGAAATAGAACTCTGATGACTGAGTTTCGTAGACCAGTTTATTGGCAACCGAGTAATCCGAAACCCCTTGAAATCCAGGCCTTTATTTTAACTTCAATAAAGTACGAATTCAGGACAACTGACTGTAATTATTTGTTGATTATAGTTCTGCTTTGACAATTCAATGAAGCGTCATGTAATATTTACTGACAGAATCCCTAGTTTAATACGGAAAGTTCAGCATAATGTGCTAACATCACATTGTTATTGGGCAAAATCATACTACTACAGGTTATTATAACGACACAATGACAATCTCTGGCTTTAGACTTATGACTAAGATATGTAACAGTTGATGGTAGTCGTATTGAAAAACCTTATCCGTACGTTTATACCTCATTTAGAATAGAAAGGGATATAAGCTATAGAACTATACGGACTAATATCTAACCGGAGTTAATATTTATTTTAGTTAACCGTGCCATAAGAGACTGAGTAATCCAGTCTGACACCTCTTGCACAAAATATATTTTTGGAGAATGACGTCTTGGCATTCCAAACGATGGGTACTGGATTCGGGTCTTATTAGAAACATAATCACGTAGAGAGAAGCAGGTACATTCACCTGCTGTAATTCTCGAATGGCATGAAACGAGGGTCTTGGGTTATATTGTTAAACATAATCTACTAAATAACATCAAGGTTGTAATTAAAGACATCGAGGTGTCCATTCTTGAAGCTGATATACTGCTTACACAGACAGATCATATCGATCCCGTGAAGGCAAGCAACGGTAAACCAGTATGTGAAGAGCTTGCAATGTGATGTACCTGGAAGGTACCTTTACCTTAGAGATTTCAACACATTAAAAGTGATGAGAATGCTGAGGTCAGATACTGCCTCCTATAATTCAAATGTATTAGCTAGAGTACCAAGGCATCTTTTAATCTGAGTAAATATACATCCTCAAGAATATTATTATGAAGTTGGATAATTCGTAGTTATAAGACCGAAATTCCTACCACTTTCAATGCATTAAGCAGTACCAACCGACTTGAAAACAGATGCGTATATTCATAAAATATTAAAAAAGTAATATAGTGTTTATTAAAAAGACTAGTTCCACGTTTTCTATCCAATAACTGGTCTACTAAGTGAAGTAGATTCTTAAACCTCACTAAATGTGTACATGATAAGCAACACCTACTGAACCAAAAAATATTGGAAGACTAATGAGAGTTAGACAATGTGAAACAACATACTTCTGAGGTTAAATACAGAGGTCAAGGAATTATTTCCCAACGTTTGATTTTTAATAGTCCCCTGGCATAAGTGTGTGATGAAACTGAATTCAAAAATAAACCAAAGCAACTTGATCAGTCAGATGAATGATTGCAGCTTGAGTAGGGGAGACTTCGTCATGAATGTATAGCTTAGTCACTTGATCAACACAATCCTGAGCAGAAAGTGTGGAGTGAATCCCATCTAATAAATTATCTGGGATTAATTTGCGAGAAACTTCTGTTGTTGAAATTTAATAATACGAATACCAGTATCTAATAGTAGCTGCTTCTTTTGACATGAATATTTTGCCTACAGCCAGTTGAGAATTCTTTTAGTTGGGTTAATATATGAAATCATATGAGCATTAAAATGCGTTCCGGACCAACTTTATTGGATGAACGGTAACAACATATAAGAGTGCAGTATAGACGGATTGCTATCTAAGAAGCTTAAGTTGAGGCTTCACAAGTGATCACTACTTAACAACAGCAAAAAGTGAAATTCATGAGTTACTAATCCTTCTGAATTATTTGAGGAATTGCTGAGGCATTTATGAGATATTAGATGAATAGATATAGACAAAAATTGAAGTTTTTCCGATTGCAGCGACAATAAAGCTGGCGAAACTTTAGACTATTCATTAACGTCCGAGAATCCTGAATGAAAGTCTACACCTGTCTACCATACACAATTATGAGAAATTGCCGTAAAGGTTAGACAATATAACACAGATACAATACTTTTAGTGATAAAGCACATCCACGAAACTTCGTAATTCACCTTTTTAAGATCTTGTGATTCAAATGACTTATTCAGGTTGTTTATCTCTGAAGAGTTTGAAATTAAATCATACCACTTTTCAGAAGACGGCTTAACCGATATTTTACATATTCACACGCTCTGTTTTAAACAAAAAAGTATTTGGAAATAGTCAAGTAGAGTATTCAACAAAATTAAGGTGTCAGAATCGTTTTTGAAATAATGGTAACTTAAAACAAGTTTCGCAAGATAATACAGTATGAAGCCCTACTGACTAAAATCGCAACGCAATGTATCCGTTTGACTAGTAGTATTTCATAATTTTGGTGAATAGTTCTGCAAGCAATACCTATGTTGATTACCCTATAGATACTAACAGATATAGAATGGTGAATATGGTCTTAATAATTTTAAAAACTAGGTATCGAGTGATACAGACTTGCAACTATACTTGAATTTCATTAGGGTTGAGAATACACCTTGTCGATGAGTAAGAACAAGCATAAATTTCAAGTCAAACAACATCCCTTACTATTGACTGTAAACAAGACACATCATAATATATTTACTTAACTTCATATTCACAAAATTTACTTCACTGATAATTTTGATGACAAATTAACACGAAATTCTGCACAGATGCCTGTCGCGACAAACTGGTACACTTCAAACCGGCGAATAAAAGTAAAGAGAACAAAACAGGCAGGTATGAGACTGACAAATAGAACTTATATGAAAATTTTCAGGATTTATCAAATAATTGGGAAGCAATAAATCTACCCTATTATCCCAAGAATTTCTAACCAGTGGCCCTTAGCGTGCCTATGACTCTACAAAGGTGACCTTCATCACCTTACGTCACTCAGACCAACAGATGATAACTCCATGGATTAACGCTTTTTGATATGATTGCCCCTATTTTCTCGCTCTTATCCTACCTCAATTAACATTGCTTGTCATTAAAGGCGTTGACTTGGTAATGCACCATAAAAGTTAAGATTTGGCATGTATAAAGGTTACTTCAAATAACATTAATGGTATAATACTATCTGGAAAATGAAGATTTGACAAACTTTAAAAGAAAGGTGTTCCTAATTCGGTGGTGTATAGACCCAACAGAAGTTACAGAATAAATAAGTTGACAATTTGTCTTTCAATTTCCTTGGGTTAATATTCAAGTGTTGCAGGGATCTGATTGGTTACAGGATTTCATTATGAGCTGAAACCGGTTAGAAAGTCATTGGAAAACCTAGGAGTATTGGACAGTTGTTTCGTCCTAGTTTGGGACACCGTGGAACATGTCACATTTCTAAATACGTGGAGATTAGTAGCGTTGTAAACGATATAGTATTTATTTTTCTAGCTGTAATCCATAATGGACAGATAAATATAGTTCAAACCTTGCAATAAGTTATTCACTGCATATTAAGAAATCCCTCTGACTAGCAACATTACTAAGTTTTGAGTCGGCCCAAACTGTAAAATTATCTACCTATATAGCTTAGTAAACATGTCCAAGAATTACGGCAGACTCAAAAACAAAATCCTGTATGAAATATTGTTTTATAGATAATTATAAGCTTGAAATTTAACCGTGTTTAACGATTAGAATGCAATTCAGTCTCTGGGGTTTTCGACCTCATTTGGAGTGTTTTACTGAGGCGTAGTAACAATCGTAAAATGTTGGCAACAGTCATGATGACAATCACCAAACAGAATAATATTCAAAATTATGGAGAAGCATGAGACATAATGATCTAGTCAACCATAACTCCTTGAAATTCGTTGTGCATGTCACCAGGTTTTCAACGGTCAATATGCTTCGAAAATATTTACGGTGACTAATCGTCACAAATACACGGAAGCTTCATAAGCCTCAAAATACCAGAGCACAGGTTGTGATCTGGAACGCTATAATTAGAAAGCTAAGACGTATGAGCCGAAAACTTAAGAAACTTAACCATAATTTAGCTGCCGAATATTGCACTTACGAACACGTGGAAATTAATATAACTCATTAACTTCTCGGATATAAAGTAATTATTCCTGGGTTTAGCGCAAGTTAATATACAGTACAACTCTGGCATGTAATTGGTAAGACTTCTCGACTTCACAAACAAATATACGACTTTATAGCATGTTTACGCGGTATCGTTTGAAAAGTATATTTCCTACAGCAAAAAGTTGTTTTTCATAAAGACCTGAACATTTCATGATTGTATTACGTATTAAGTAAGCTGGACATGACTGAAGAAAAATAATTACTTAGTTGTAAATGAGTCAAACGATTTTTACAAAGAACTGTCATAAAATAATACCAACTGTCAGGAAAACATAAATTTAGCAAACAAAATGAGGCAGAAAAATAGGTTCAACCAATAAAATTGAAGACAACTAAGTGCAATACAACATGAGCGAATATAAAGTCAGCATAAGCACTTTCTGGACAAAAAGGAGTAAATACATTTTTGTTCTGAGGATTCGAATGCATTCTTAGACAGACACCAAGGACAAACGAGGCGACACATGATATAAATCCGGACAGAAATGAGTTGAATGGGAAAGTACCTGCGAGACAACAATACAAAAACTGAATTATTCCTGTTAAGAGTATATAAACCAAGTAAGCATCCAATATACGCAACCTCCTTGGTGTTGTGGCCTTGTATTTCTTGTAAAACTCTTTGAAGATTGATGCGACTGATTGGCCTTCACTAGAAGATTTTGTGTTGACTGACTTATTATCGCCAGCCTTAGGGTTCGTCGACTTTACAGCCATTGTGACGCACCAATTTGAACTTTCGCACGTGTGACGTTGTTATTGTGTATACGTGTAAACAAATAATTTCATCAGCAAGACATTTGGCGTTACCAATTGTTGATATTTAATGTTCTGTAAAACTGAACTGGCTCTTAGACAAGATAGGCTTATGTGATACTCTCCTGGGAATTTTTTTGTATTCCAGAGTTCAGAAGTACCCAGTAAATCGGGTAAGAAAGTTGAGAGTTTAGGAAGTACGAAAAGAGATCACTTTGTCTCGATTATCTTTACTGAAAATAGCATATGTATCCTCAGGGTTTATATAATTTATTTGGATGGGAATCCGAGTAAATGTGCTATGTTTATTAGTCAGTTACCAAGTGATACTGAAGGTCAATCAATCGGCTAGGGATAGATGTTAACCATTTGCTGCACTTTTGTGAGACAAAGGCGTGGAGGGTAATTGAAGTCTGGATGATTCCACATTCAGACTTTGGGTAACATGGGGATGCGTGGATATTTCATGGTTTATTGGATTAAGATCACACAGTCGCTCGTTCGCTTGCATGCGACCTAACAAGGGATTCTTGTGCCATCAGCATGAATGCGGATGACCTCACCGATTTCTCGATAAAACCTGGTAACGTGCAGGCCACGTTAAGCAACACAGCTAATATCTAAAACTTAAACTCACCCATAATTTTGGAACAAATAACCAGCCGTCTCTCCATGGCTATGTAGGCCAAGTCGGCTGACATCGCTGACAGAACTTTGTCTATAGGTGAACAACATGACTTTGAAGATTCGAACTGTTTTGGAAAAGAAGGAGCATGAGTTGCTCGAACATTTCGTCGGATGTCACTAAGACAGCCTTCCGTGCCAGACTGTAACTGAGCTAGACATCACACGTCAAAACAGTACAATGGGCCGACAAGTAAGATTATGTGTAATCATCGTTGTGGTGATGGGGGAATATTGAGTGTTCTCGCGGTGTATAATTGTGAATTAAAGGCTACAGAGGGTTCCTCTGAAGTAGATTACCAGGAAATTATGAATAGCCCAATCTTCTGAAGGAGTCAGAAATAGAAAACTATAGATTTAAGCGTCATAGGAAACGTCTCTCTAAAGGTTTTATCTCACCGAGTAAGTGAAAGGAATCCGTGTTTACCAGGTGCTAACCAGAGAATTTCAAACCTTTTTGTGGTGCTTTGGAATGTGAACAAGGGGTAGTGAGTCACATTCCACGCTGCGAAGAACCTATTGGAAACCAATTAGTTAGCTTGCCTAATTAATTTCAGGCTCGCGTTCAGTCGGTTTCTACTGGAAATAACGCTCACGAATGATGTTAGGTCATTCATTCTACCTAGATGTGGGCTCTTCGCACACCACTTGCTGACTCTGTAGCCTAACCCACCTATCCTGATGGCCAGACTGTTCTTAACACCACCACACTGAAGAAGGGAGAATATAAAAATTACGGTTGCTCATGTGTGTACTTGTTAACGATGAATTCACAGAGTACAGAAATACACAATCACACTTCAACGCCACCACTGTCCCCTGAAACTCCGATTGTCCGCCATGTTTCACCCTGTACAAATCAAAAAGCTCGATGGTCGAGGGTGAGACGGCTGAGGCTCAGTATGAATCTCCTAAAGTGGGGTGGTGAGCATCACTTCTTCGTCGTTTGGCCAGAAACTGATTTAATTGTGGAACCCGATATCATATTATAGAGATTCATCCTACGTTAGTGGTTAAAACCACAGTTGGCTTGGGTAGAGTTCCTCATTACTTCTGAGGTTGGACAAGGGCGTTAAAGTCTACGGCGTGAATTGCTCGACTGAAGCACTGCATTCCAGCAATGTGTATGGCTGGTGGTGGTGTAGCAATTTATTTGGTTTCACTGAATTTAGACCATTTGAGGAACGAAGGACATCATGAAATTTCTTATGCATGAGACTTTAAGAGGCAGCTTAGACAGTAAATTTCGCCGACTGATCCAGTTGTGCGGGTGATGGTCTCATCCCCGAGAGGATATCCAAGCGAGTTTTTCGACGGTTTGCTATCAGCAGCTGGTTGACTAAAATAATCCTCTGGTCTAGCGGAAAGAAACACATGTCAATATCATTATTCAAACATGATAATATTATATATTAATTCCTGTCTGTACAGGAACATACCAGTTGCAAAGGCATACATATTCATTATTTCAATTAGATAAATTTGGTTAATGGTGAATTTACATGGTTGGTGTTCTATTCGTCTTTAGTTTGTGGGAACAATCTGCGAACTAGTCATTCAATAGAGCACACTAAGAAATATAGGATTATTGTATTCGCATTAACAAAAAAACCATATGTGCGTTGGATGTATCACAAATAATTTGGAAAAAGTAGGGCGTGAAGTCGATTCTCCTATTTAACAGAGCATTGGATCTTATTCTTCATTTTTAGTTGCAGGGTGTATTAACTTAAAATAAGTAATACATTTGCATAATATTCTCATCACTGTCATCGTAGGTAACACAAGAAGTGAATTGTACTCCATGCAAACGAATGTTTGTCATACCCACGATTGTGTGCCAGTTCTCGCAAAGGCTGAAGTCGTCCCGATTCTAGACAGTCAATACATTTCTCACCTACCAAAAAATCTTCAGTAGTGAGGTCAGCGTATCCCCTGAATTCTGTGTGCTCATTTTAGGGATTCTGCACCACTGTCTGGTTCTGCAGCTTTGTCAGCTTTACAGTTTTCAAGATGTCAGGATTTCTTGCGGGATTGGTGTTCACTGGCAGCTTTATGACCAGTGATATCACCTGTGGGTGGTTTACGGGTGGTGGTCGATTAAATCATTCCTTAAAGTAATTAATCCAAAGCTCTTTTGTTTTCCTCCTTGGTGATTACGTTCCCTTCATGGCCTTTCACCTGTTTAATCTGTATTGACTGGTTTCCTGATAGACACCTGGTTATGTTGTATGGTAATCTGAGGTTCCCGTTCCTTGACGCCTGTTCTGCTTCAGCTGCCAGTGTCATGAAATTTAAAACAAGCGACAAATGTTACCGGTTTGGGATCTGATGAATTTGTTGACTTCCGGCTGAAGACCGTCTTGCTATTTGAAGTTGTCTGTTGTCTTCCTCTTTTCTTGGTCTAGTGTTTTGAGTGCACAGTGTCATATAATTGTAATTTTTTACCTCTTCGGGTGAATCTTGTTACTAGTACTGTGGAGGAAGGTGGTTCTCTCCTCACAAGGGCCTTAATTTTTTTTTAAAATAAAATTAAAACGTTGTTGATGGTATCGTAAGAGCTTATTCCATAGTGTGTTCATGGTTTTCCTCCAACTGATCGAAGTAAACTATTGACCCCCCAAATACATTTTCAGAGAGTCGACTTCCTTTCCACCTGCTTTCATGTATTCCTAGCACTTTCATGTCATACGTTCTCATTCTATCAGAGGTCTGGGTAGCCCTGCCTGCCTCAAACATTCTTTAGGGGTTTCACTTCCTCAATGAGTGCTTTCGTTTTCATCGAAAGATGACATATGCTGATTGGATTCCGCAAGACTCTTACCAGCCTGAGACATACCTTCTCTCCGATTCCAATAAAGAGTTAGTTTATTCAAAATATTTTTCCAGTTCTTCGAAGCTTCTGTAGCGAATGGATTAATTTTAGCCATTATGGTCGTTGATCTTACGCCCATTCCTTCCTCTATTTCCGGGTTCAGAATCAGTTACTGAACTAGTGTAGGCAACGTTTTTAACTTCTCACCTTACAGTGTTTAATAAAGCGTGTTCCAACAGTGTACAGGACGCTAAGAACTGCGAAGTTATCTGAGGAACTAACGAGCTTTAATAAAGCCACTGCACGGATGACTTTCGGCAAAGATTCGAGCCCACAGACTTCAACCAAAAATGCAAATCAGAACCCCACTGATGCAAACAGAGTTGTATCAGACGCTAAAAATGCTAGACATAATACAGAATATGTTCTATGTGGCGAAATGCATCAAGTAATTATAATAGGATCCTTCAGTTTTGGGATAAATCGGTATCCAAATACAAAGAACACAATGACTGGAAAATGGGTCTTGATTCATAAAAATAACCATCCAAACAAAGTATATACAGCAGTTAAAGATGAACCGCGAAACTGTTCGGTTCACATAAAAATAGAAAATAGCACATAAAGTGAAACTTTAGTTTTTTAAAGTGAGACCATGAAGCGTGCGTGTCTAACAGATATCGTAATTCCAGGTGGGGACTTGGGTCTGCACCCCAAGTGAACAGGACCGTTTGGCTGGTGAGTTTGGCCCTCACGGTCGCACAATAGATAATGAGGACCGTCTTCGACAACTTTGGGCAGACTGACACCCACTTCTCGCCTGCCGTAACTTCTGACCCATCCGTCGTCTTAATGTCCCAATCGGGGTCGTACCTCAGACACTGGGGTCCGGTTCTTGATAGATCATACTGCTATCAGCCAACCACGACGTGAAGAGATGCATGATTGTTGCTGCTTCACCAGCACTTACCTAGATTTTATCACCCTTAAGTTTGCACCTATCTTCCTCATGCTGACCAGTAGATATAGAAGTGGTTGCAAGTGTGAATAGCCCCACTCTGTAGGATAGCAACATGTATTTTGATTGCTCAATATTGAAAAGTGAGCTTAGATGGTAGCCCTAAAAACAATAATTACTACTTAGATCTAAATAACATATAAGGCTTCTACCTTAAACACCCACATGTTCGCTCAAATTCTTGTCAAGATACCATCCTGTGGGCCTCACACAGATACGTGGGACATCTTATGGGTCAGTAGGTCCTACATGTTCTACATTTTCGAATCTTAACGCCTCTTCTGACTGAACTGTCACCTGAGCTCCGTTGTACTTTAATTGTCAGATGTTTTAGTGAAGGTGAAGCTTGCCCTTTTCACTTATATATCATGCCTCCCTTAAGTCTGGCTGTGCTGAAGTAAAAATTAAAAACAACGCATTGCTCAGGGTAAACACAGTTTTATG